TATCTGTTATTCACATCTCTAAATATGCTTAGCGGCATACCCAACGCATAACTGTACGTCTACCAGTATTTCAGATAGCATTAGTTATGAATCAAAGCATACGGCCCCACATATCAGAGAATGTAATAACTTCAAGTCTGAGGATAGTTATAGCAAGGTCGATTTGAGAATACTGATAAACACATTACTGTAGATCCATGCAGTATTCTCAAGATGGGTCAATCCAGTCACATATTATCGATATAATATGCACCTACGTACAGATTAAGATATCACAATACCTATAGTCTATGAGACACAACTATCTCATCTCGTACGTATTAGTCTTGATACGATATGACGTCTGTATTATCATAAAGTGCGACTAGGGATATTCTAGACATAGCCTTCGTCAAGAAGTAACAGTCTCATAATCAGAACATCGTAGTCCTCATCTATGTTACTGTAGCGCTATCGTCTATGGACTGAAGCTATGTTATGTTACACGAGATATAAAACATACTTCAAGGCCATTCATTCATGATAAAGTGTACAGTTACATAGGTATTTGATTGCCGCTAGGGCACCTAAATACAACAATCTTCCACTTGCCCTAAGGCCAATCAAGCATTTCTCGAATGCCCATGGACCACGTATGACTCTCGTGTTTAGGCTTTCCCAAATCCTTCGTCAACGGATCCGCGATATTGTCGTCTGTACCTATCTTGCAAATCTAAACGTCCCCACGTGCAACGATTTCTCGTATGATGTGATAACGTCTAACGATGTGTTTGGTCTTCTGGTGAGACCGAGGTTCTTTCGCTTGTGCAATTGCCCCATTGTTGTCGCAAAACAACGGTATAGGGTTCTTGATGTTAGGAACCACTCCAAGCTCAGTAATAAAATTCTTGAGCCACACACCTTCCTTGGCTGCCTCGGCTGCAGCCATGTACTCTACTTCTGTAGTGGAATCAGCGGTAGTATCTTGCTTGTAACTCTTCCAGGTAACAACTCCGCCATTCAAACAAAACACATACCCTGCCTGCGACTTGAAGTCATCTCTATCAGTTTGGAAGCTGGCATCTGTATATCCAACAATACTGAGCTCTTCTTTTCCGCCATATACTAGGAAGGCATCCTTAGTCCTATGGAAGTATTTAAGTATGTTCTTCACAACCGTCCAATGGCTTTCGCCAGGGTTGGACTGGTATCTACTTGTGACACTCAGAGCAAAGGCGACATCAGGTCTCGTACATACCATCGCATACATGATGGATCCAATGGCCGACGCATAAGGAACATTTCTCATGCATTCTACTTCCTCCGGAGTGGAAGCACCCTGAGTCTTAGAAAGACTCGTGCCTTGGACCATAGGCAAACTTCCTCGTTTCGACTCAGACATGCTGAATCTAGCGAGGAGCTTGTCTATGTATGTACTTTGACTGAGACCTGACAGCTTCCGTGATCTATCCCTATAGATCCTTATCCCAAGTGCATAACTGGCATCTCCCAAGTCCTTCATAGAGAAACTCTTACTCAACCACGTTTTGACGGTGGTTAAAGTAGGAATATCGTTTCCTATGAGCAGTATGTCATCAACATACAGAGCAAGGAAGACTACAGCACTCCCACTGACCTTCTTGTATACACAAGATTCATCCGAATTTCTTTCAAAACCAAAGCCGATGACAGTTTCGTGAAAGCGGATGTTCCAACTCCGTGAGGC